GCACGGCTTCATCCCTAACACCTGGCAGGTGGCATACCCATATAATGTCAGCAGTTGGGAAGCTAAGATGGGGCCAGTGCTTCAGTTCAAGGTCAGCCTGCCAGCAGTGGATGCAGAACAAACTTTGTTCCCAAAACAACAATATAAATAAACGAAAATCTGCTGCTTCAGTGTGTAGAAAAATTAAAATCTCTCATGACTATTAAAATATCTACACTACATTTCTTATAAGTGTACACAAAAACAGTACAATGCTCCCACAAGTTAAAAATAAGTTTATCAAGCAGTGATATTTTCCCTACATTTTCTATGTTTTGTAATGTTTTGCTGAAATTTTCAGAACATAAATGTTTCGAAGCAGTAGTCCCTGACGCATCTGGAAGAAAGAAAGGAATTACAAGGGCAGTGGCCTTTGCAAAAATGACAAATGAATATCCATCGGTTCCTGTTCCCATTAAAGCTGTGAGATTTCACATTCTTCACCACACAATGGAGCTTTTATCAATGCTGGAAAATATTTTTGTGAGAAGATTTGCAGAGAATGGATGGAATTCTTAGTGTGGCAAGCACCCATTGAGTTATTTTGAAGAACAATGACTGAATAACTAATTAGAAATGTTCCAGTGATATTTATGCTACAAAAGAAAAGATTTAAGTGTGGCATTTTCTCTTGAGAAGTCTGTCAGAAAAGCTACATTAAGTTTGTTGACTGTGGGCATCCATTCTGGAATGATCTTCCCTCAAAACTCTAACAGCTGCCTTCCCTTTGGCCAGCTAATGCTTTTGACATCCTACTTGGCTTCTAAGTGTCATTGTTTGAATGGTTCCTTGTACATACTTCAGTCTACCCTACCCCAAAACAGGACTTAACATGACTCCAAAGAACATAAAGCATGATAAATGGTCATAAAATAAGGAAAACGAGACAAAGGAAGGCTAAAACAAGAAAGACAGATGAAGTGTCGTACAGTCAAAATTAAAACAAGCTAACACCTCAGCTTCTGACGGCAAAGCCTTTCTATCTCAGGAAGCACAAGCTAACCATCCAATATCATCATGTCAAAGATGATCTATTGGGTCAGAGAGATGACTCAATGGTTAAGATGGCTATTCTTCTGGAGGACCAGGGTTCAACTCCCAGCAACCACATGGCAGCTCACAATAGTCTGGATTTCCAGTTCCAGGGGAACTGATATCCTCACACAGACAAACATGAGGGCAAAACACAAATGCATATGAAATAAGAATTTTTTTAAGCAAAGGAGAAGAAAGAGGAGGAGGAGAAGCTTGTTCTAAAAAATAAAAACAAAAACAAAAAACAAAAACACAAAAAAAAAACCCGATGTTTTAAAAAACAGTTCTGATACTGGAATTAAACAATAAATTGGGGTTGGTGTGGGGACATGGCTCTATTAGTAGAGCATCTGACTAGTACACACAAAGCTGTCATTTCAATCTGAACACCTATAACCTAGGCATGGTGGTGCCTATAGAGGCAGGATGATAAGAAGGTCAGTCTTTACTATACAGTGAGTATGAGGCCAGCCTGGGCACAGGACACTTTGTCTTACAACAAGAATATATTTAAAAAAAAAAATTCCAATAAGATTTTTTTGGTCATTTAACACTTACTTTTAAATACATAAACTTTCTATAAAGCATATACTTATGAAGTCTTAAAAGGAAGGCAAAACATTTGAAAGCAACATTCCCATAACACTTCTACAGAGACACGGTTTTAAGTAAGTAAGTGTGCGATTTGCTGATGGTCTGGCTTAGTCTAGAAATGCATTCTCATAGAGTGAAAGAGATTTTCTCACAACAAAGGAAAAAGGAAAAGAAACAATGAGAAAAGCATTTGATAACTGTTCCTAGCAAAGATATACCTAAAATATTCTCTCCACAAAAGGCTTGCATAACCTTGGGTAGGTTGTTCACATTCTTGGGACTTTGCTACCACTATGAGTGATGACTCATTAGAAAATCAAGTGATTCAATGTATCCACTTTTGTTTTTTACCTGTATTTACATGTGTGCATGGGCATGCACACACGTATGAGCAAACGCAGTGACTACAGTGAGGTCAGAGGACAACTTACAGGATTTTGTCCTCTCCTACCACCTGAGCCAAGAGGATCCGACTCAGCCAGATTTGGTAGCAAGTGCCTTTACCCACCGGGCCATCTTACTGACCTCAATTACCTACCATATTTTTATACTGCGACTTTATCTAGTAACCTTACTGAACTGTACAATGAGCTTTAATCATTTTTGTCTTTGAATTTCTACCGCTTGCTCCTCTTTGTGAACATAAAGGAAAAGTTTAGGAACAACTCCCCTGAACCCTCAAAACTCCATGCAGTGTTCTTGGCCATCACTGACCCTAACAGGCTTCTCTTAACACAATCCCCAGCCCTCCTGCCCCATCCCACTATACTTCACACTCGAATAGTAATTCGATCACACAGCATCAGATGCCGTTCACACTCTTGCCATGCTCTCTTGTTCCTTTAATATATCTGCATCTGTGTGTAAAGGTCAAGCATATGTCAAGTTAGCTTCCTATCTTCATTCCATGCTGAGAACTGTACCCTAGACAAAGAGGAATTATGAGTCTCTGGAATGCCATCCCAAGCACGCGTGCACTGATCTGCCAACCCTTCATACACGGCTTCATAAAATAGCCCTCTCTACTTCCCTTAACCTCTGTCTAAAACTTTTACCATTTTCCTAAAATTATCTGTTCACTTTCTTTATTCCCTTATCCGCCAAAACATCACAGAGTGCTTCAGAAAATTCCCCTCTCTAGCCCTTAACCACTATCTAAAACTTCACCATTTTCCTAAAATTATTTTTCTTTGTTCCCTTATTATATGAATTTCTTTTACCAATACTCCTGGGTTTGTAATTTAACCTCTAATAAAACTGAACTGCAGGGGTTGGGGGGGTGGCTTAGGCAGGAAAGGTGCTTGCTGTGCAGGCCTGGCGGCCTGAGTTCAATTCCTAGAGCCCCTGTAAAAGTGAAAGGAGAAAACCTACCCCACAAAACTGCCTTCTGACTTCCACATACGCAGTGTGGAACACGCAATCCCACACTCACACACAGACAGACGGACATGCCCCCACACAGAAAACAACAATAAATAAATTTAAAGTTAAAACTGAACTACTTGACAGTCCCTGAATATGTCTTGATTTCTTTGCACACACTCTTCCTCTGCCTGGAACGCCCTCCTCCATTTTGCTTAACCAGAGTGCCTCTTGAGTTTCTTACAATCTCAGCGCCACGCTGTCTCCTGTGAAACTTCCTCAATACATACGCTTCTCCTGTGTGCCTTCAGTACACGGCATCCACCTCTAGGTACAGGAATCACACTCACCCACTTCGTTCCTGCAAAAGACTGCCTCACAAAGGCCCAGGAATTTCATTTCAGTTTACTATCCCAAGCACCTACTCAGTGCTAGCTAATTATATGTTAAAGGAATGAATATTCCCTCTAAAGTACAATTCCTTGAGCCTGACATTATATAAAAGAAATAAACTGAGAGAAAATAAATTTATCAAAACCTTAGTTAAGATGAATGACCAGTAACATCAATAGTAAATTCTATATTCATAACCCAGATAAAATGCTCTTACATAAAATATTTTCCAAGTAAATAATAGAAATCTTTTACTGAAAGATAAAAGGCTCTTTGTTTAATAAACCTGAATGGATAGCAACTAAATTAACTGAAGCTATGTTACTAGACAATACTAATGGTACCACTGTTAATGTTTTTCTATTTTAACAGATATCTGAGTGATGAGGAACACTATGAAAGCATTGCTGATCACAAAATACTTCTCTTGAATAGTTTAAAGCATAAAAGAAAACCCAACAGTGAAAACTGATTGCCACCAAACCCATCCTTCCACTAAAAGTGCGCATCTGAACAATCAATCACTAATGCACCGAGGTGATACAATGTGAAGAATGAAACCATATCCTAAAAGGTCACAGATAACTTGGCATTCTTTTTATTATGTTAAAAGCAACTAAAATAAATGTGCACATATTTGGGGAGAATACAAGGAAATACTACACACCAACTTCAGGATAATAGCCAAACTAAATGGAGGCAGATCAAGGGAAAGGCAACAACAGTTAGTTGAAATCTGAGCTTTCATTTTGGTACTAGATGTTCAGTTACTGAATTCTTGTTTTAAATAGATAGACAGTGTAAAGGGAACAAAATAGGTAGAGTGGTAAAGAGGGAGAGAAAAGAGAAGGAAAGAATCAGGATATGAAAAAAAAAAAAACTCAAAAGATAAAAGTAAACCAAACACAGACCAAACACTGATAGTGTGCTTGGACCAAGAATGAGTGACCCTAAAACACGATGGCACAAGACAACACTACAAGCCCTGCTTGAAGTTCGTAGGCTAACACAAACCTTTTATCTCTGAATCCAACTCAAAATTCACCCACCCATTCAATCCCCACCTTATTGCAATCGAGTGTATCTGCTATAAATGGCCTCCAATAAACGTGAGGCCTTTGACACTCAGGAGTAGACATTCTCCTCAGCAAATAATAGCCAAAGGGGGAGGAGGGACCCACATAAATGAAAATGGGGCTGACCCATTGACTGCTTCTGTAATAGAGAGGACAGTTCCTACAAGCCTCTGAATGGGAACATGATGATTGTCATTCACCCATTCAATACTTATCAAGTGCCAATTATATGTCAACTCTCATGAAAAGCAAAGGGACCCTTTGAACTTACAGGTCATGCTTGAATCCAGTCTAGTATCTTCTCTAGCAAGCTCCAGAATTAACAGTGTCCTCAACAGAACCTACCACACTTTCAGCCACTACTTAACCAACCAACATCAAAGCAGCTCACATGCAAAGTGAGGTTACACTGGCCCTCCAAACTCAAGGACACCAAATCTCTAGGACAACCATTGGGAAAGCACACATGAGATGTCCTGAGCACAGTGCTGCCTGTCTTACCTGCTATCTCTGTAAGTGTGTTGACGTGATCTCCATCTGCCAGCTTCACAAAGCCAACCTGACTTTGGAAAGTGTCAATCCCTTGGAAGGACAAAGTCAGGTGCTTCCCTTGAAGGATTTCCTCAATGAATGGCTTCAGTTCCAAAAGCGCATCAGTACCACTAGTGAGAGACAATATTTTTCAGCAATATGATAAGTAATAAAATAGACAAAACCAAGTAAGAAACAAAGAAATCCATTTTAAAAGATAAATTGTGTGTGTGTGTGTGTGTGTGTGTGTGTGTGTGTGTGTGTGTGTGTGTTATTTCAAATTTCAAAGTTCAAAATATCTTTTAGATTATTTCAAAGTTCAGAATATCTTTTAGATCTAACCCGAGGTTAAAACCAATTTTAATTTTTAATCAACTATAGAAGAGGTGAATTAACTCTTTTCCTAATTAAAATTACTATTAAAGACATAAAAGCAGACACTTGTGGTGGTTTGAATAGGAATGGCCTCCATAGACTCCTGTTATCTGACCTACAGGGAGTGGCATTAGGAGGTGTGGCCTTGTTGGATGTGATCTTGTTGGAGGAAGTTTGTCAATGTGGAGGTGGGCTTTGAGATCTCACATGTTCAAGCCACACCCAGTGTCTCAGACCACTTCCAGCACCATTTCTGCCTGCACACCACATGATTCCTGCCATGGCAATAATGAACTACACCTCTGAAACTGTAAGCCAGGCCCAGTGAAATGTTTTCCTCTAAAGTGTTGCTGTGGTCACGGCTGTGTCTCTTCACAGCAACATGAATCCTAAGACAACACTATTCCGTTATTCATCAAGAAACTTCTCAGATGTGGTAGCACGCACTTATAAACAAAGCACTCTGGAGGCTGAAACAGGAGGGCTGCAAATTTGAAGCCAACTGGGACCACATAAATAGAGTACAATAAGACCTTGACTCAAAGCATAAAAATTAAAACAAACAAAAAGAAACTCCTAACCCCCCAAAAAAAAAAAAAAAAAATGTGGCTGTGTAACTCAAAGTGCCGGAGCTACAGCAGCTACACAGCTCGGATGTAGAGCAGTTGCCTACTGTGTATGGGGACCTAGATTCAACCTCCAGGACCTCAGGGAAAAATAGGGCCGCAAAACAAAAAACACATCCCAAACAACCCACCACAGGGAAGAGCTTTGTTGCATTGTGGAGAGTGTTTGAAACTTTGTTTTGGTTTGTTTCTGGGTGTGGGGTTTTGAGGCAGGCTCTCATGTAGAGAAGATGACCCTGAGGTTCTGGTCACCCTGCCACCACCTCCAGGGTTAGGATGACAGTCAATCGTATACCAGGCATAGGTAAGCACTCTACTGCTAAATCATGAGCCCAGCTCAAGTCCTAGATTTTAAAATATAAACGTACTAATACTTACTCAAGCAGGACTTACTGTTTACAATGCATTCTACAAAAACATAAGAGGGTGTTATCTCCTAAAATACAATGACTTTATTTACATGATTCCTTGTGCTCTGGCTCTATAAAGTGTGAGCTTAACCATATTTCCCAACTAGAACTAAATGCTTGCCATAGCTGTTTAGCCTCTGTTCACTTATGACCACTGTGTGTTTCCAACATTTATTTCTCTTTATAGCTTGAGTTAGACATTATCAAATTTTGTATTGTCTTAAATTTATACCAATTACTTACATCCTGAAAAGAAAAAAATAAAAATTAAACTCACTAGAGGGCAGCAATTACTTAAAAAAGACATGAGCACAAGCAGTATGGAGAGGATTTTCAAACTTCCTTCGCACAAAACCATCATTGAATTATCCTGTTTGCCAAACAAATAAGTGGGAGGGGGCAGATTTTTGTAGAGCTCTCCTATTGCTAAAGGAATCTTCACATAGCTTTGAACTGATTCAATTCTTGTACTTTCCAGTCATGTTCTAACGGCAATGCAGAACTCCAGAACTCCAGAACAAGTCAGTGTTTCTCCCTGTACCTCCACATCCTCATCCCAACCCAGTGTCCCTACTTGCATTTCCGGACCATAGGACACTGTGTTCTGTGCAGCAAAGCATGCGTTCACAGAGCAACACTCACATATACAGACTGAGGGTGTATGTGTATCAAGACACCCAGGCGGCACCGAATTATCAACTAAAACAGGCCAGGAGAAAGATAAGACTTTTCCAGAAATAATGAGTTCTGCAGACTCCTTGTAAAGGAAACAGGGGTGACCTAAATAGTGCAGGTTTTCAGTTGTCTGGCTGTGTACAGCTAAGTATTTACCTAATGAGACACCACTAATCCAAAGAAGGAGTCAGAGGGTCTCATGGGGAGTGTCGCTCTCAGATCCTTTTCAAAGCAGGGCATCTTCTCAAGAGTGCTTTGCAAAAGACTTCTTTATATTTAAATGCAAACAGAAATTCTGAAACTGAGTTCAGGCCAACAGTTATATTTAAATTAAGATAAGACAACTATCTTATCAATCAGCAGCTACTTTGAGCCTAATATATTTTTACTTCTTCTACACTCTCAAGACACAAAAGGACCTTACAATGAAATCTACTCAGACCAATTCATGATTTTAAAAATGCCTCTGCAATGGCATCCAATCTACTGACTAATACTTGACTAAATCCTAAGGTAAGATGCTAGGCTCTGTAGAATAAAAATGAGTATAGACTTGCAACGGATAATCTAAACACCTAGCATACTATACAATATTGGATGAAGAACAAAAATGTTAGCTAAGTGGATTTTTTTAATTGTTCACGTAAAAAAAAGAAAAAAAGAAAAAAAAAGTGTCCCCAGAAAACTTTATCCATTCCATTTTGTTTAGATGCCCAACACAGGCCACACCTTGGCTCATTCACCACACAGAAGTTTGATAGCTCTGCTCCTCCAGAATGTGGGCAGGTTTCATGAAACCAGTGGAAGTCCTAAGAGAGAAAGATTTGAGCACAGAAGGCATTTTCTCCCCCAGACTTTCTCTCCCACAGGTCGAGAAAGACAACCTAAGATAGACACAGTTGTCTGTCCTGTGAGAGAAGCACAGGTGTTTTAAAAATAATCGAAAAGGAGGAACTGTGGGAACCCACAGAATTGACTCCATTCCATTTTGACTTAAGGTCTGAGAGTTTTTGCCTGCCTTTGCTCTTCCAAGGTTAAATGACAAGGATGTCTGGCCAAAGGGTATGAATTCAACAGGATGCTTGATGAAGGATATGGTCGCTGCATGTCCTACCCTAACAATAGAAAATTCTAACTCAGGAGACAGTCACCTGATGTTTGGGGTATAGAGAAGTAATTACGCTTGCTTTTCTTTGTCTTTTGCCTTCTCCCTCTCTTTTGATGGGAGTATAAAGACTATGCACAATAACTCAGCATTCACTGGATGTCTCCCAACTATTCCATGTCTCTGTCTTAGTGTCTTTAATTTTTATGCCTGCCATTTCTTAATCCACATGTTTCCCTCTAACACCAGACTGCGTGGTCCATAGAGAAAGACCAGGACAGCAAAGGCTACAGAGAAAAACCCTGTCTTGAGAAACAAAAAAGTAAAGAGAGACTATAGTGGAATGTGTCTGAAACCTCAGCATTGAGGCAGCTGAGGGCAGAGAATCACAAGTTCAAGGCCACTTGTCACATCAAGTTTGAGGCTGGCCTATGTTACATAAAATAAAAAGTAAAAAACCCTCAACACAATGACTATTAATAGGGATAATTAGGATAAAAAATATTTCTTTAGAATCTAAATGCCTCCTTGGGCTCATCTATTATTTACTCACAGTAGAGTAATAATTTGTAAAATAATATTCAGGAAAGACACACTACTCACATGTTTATTTCATCTTCATTTAACATCTGCATCACTAGCAAGGTGACATGGAAGGAACCATCACCAACCATGGCTTTGGCCAGTCGCTTATCCTGTTGCAGTATCGTATTTTGCAAGACCTTAATTCCAGCTGTAATCTAATCACAAAAAAAAAAAAAAAAAAAGTGAAAAGTAAGCCAAATTTTTATAAGGCAAAATTTAAATCAATAAGAAAAATAAGCAAGCAACTACCAAAATTAAAAGTGAGGTCAAGATTCTGCAACCAAACACATAATGGTCTGCTTGTTCTCACACTTGCTAGAGAGTTAGATGGGATGGCTTGACACGCTATATAAATGTAGAAAAATCACAAATGTGTGTCTGTCTGACAGACACTGAGCACAACACTCTTATTTTGCAGACTGGGTGGGGAAACTCCCCATTGCCACACATCCATTTAGAAATGTGTCCTGGTGATAGGAGTCTGACTCACTAGCAGGGGGAGAAAGCTTTATTCTTCCAGAGAAAGGCCAAATCAGCAGACAACATTCCATTTCTGTTAGAAGTAATATTTATTTGTCCCACAGTGAACTGTTGGACCTATTCCTCGTTGCTTTTAAGATTCTCTGGGATAAGAGGAAATCCAATAAGAAGGGCTGCTGGTGTTTTCTTCCTGGTTTGTGAGGGGTGGGTCGTAACCATGGCAACAGAGCTGAAGGAAATGCAAACTGTGACAACTACATCCAGGAGAAAGCCTGCAGGTGGGGCTGCCTGACCATCCTCCCTCTGGGTACCTGGTCCTCTGGAACAGGAAGAGGGGTGATGTATGTCCCTCCCCCATTTCCTGGTAGAGCCACAGATGCTAGTCAAGCTGTAAAATGTCAGTGCCCTGGAGAGTAATCTGAAGTAAAACAGCAAGCCCAGAGAAAGGCCTGAGAGAATTCCTAAAAACTGTGGGACAGCAGAATTATTAAGAGGAAAGGGAAAGCTGGGCTTTCCAGAAAAGGGGAGGGGTGAGGAGAGCACAGGGCCATGAGCATAGCAGGCTGTTCTGATTCTGGGGCCGCTGTGTTATCCTCAACAATGGCCCCATTATCTGTGCAATGTACTGAGAAAACTATAAGACATTGTCCTGGGACCTAGACTTCCTTCTTGAACCAGGCTCCAAGTCCACTGCTTAATTGGGCCCACCGGTTCTCCTTTGTCCCTGTAGAACCCACTCTGAGTAAGATTCTTGTGACATCACCTTGGAGAAAATCCCCCATCCTTGGTACCCTGAGCATCTCCCTGTGGCCTGACTTTGACAGCGGTTCTGTCTAGACACATTTCTTCTTAGCCTTGTTCTATCCTCTGACCTTATCACTGCTCCTTGATGCAAATCCCCACTGTACTCACTGTGGTCAGAATACAGCCCATCTCTCTCCATGAGAACATATCCCAGTCCATGGATCCTGGTAAAGTGATCCTTAAAATGCCCAATGTGATTAAAAATAGCCTCAACTTGGCTTAAATAAAACAAAACAAAAAAAAAAAAAAAGCAGCAAACTTTCTAGTCATTTTTGGTTTTGTTAGACAGAAACATAAACATAAATTAACCTTGGCCAATCATAAGCACCCAACTAATATACGAAGATTATGTGACTAGGTCTGTTCTGACAAGGTAAACCATAAAAGGCAACTTCGAAAGTGTAATCAATTCCTTTATTTTACTCCCACATCTTTCTTATAAATACCTGCCTCTGACACAAGGAAACAAGAACACTAAACCTCTTTTAAGTCTAGTGTCCCTGATTCACAAATTGTTCCTTACTCAAACTTAATAAAATGTTACTGTGCCCGAGATTTTTCTCTATGAGCTTAATAGCAGGATCAGAACTCAAAGGAGACCCCAATGACCTCCAGGAACATTGAGGAGCCAAATGAAAGAAAGGCACCAGGTCCATTATAGAGAGCCCCAGCAGGTGGCATGTGCTTGAGGAAAATACTGACCCTCTTCAAAAGCTGCTCCTAGGATCCTGACAAACAGCTAAAAGGCCTAGGCAAGCAGTTCCCATTGTCTGCCCACAGAAGACTGAATGGTCTATTATTCCATCATGTAAGCAGGAAAACAAACAGATGACTCACTCTCTGATTGCACTGCTAGATTAGGAATCTTGCTGCTAAACATTTTTATTAAAAACACAGCTTGAGTATTTCTCTTTTTAATTCTATAAACTTTGTTATTACAAGAAAAGAAAACCTTGCAAATAAATAAAAGCATCACACAGCAAAGCTAACCAGACTCAAAGATGTTTGTCAGAGGGCTCGGTGACCTGCAGAGAAACATAAGCCTGAACTGCAGCCAAACAGTTTTAAAGAACAGTAAGAACAAGATGAGGACCAGCTCTATCCATGACTAAAGGCACCTGCCACCAGCCCTGAGGGCTTGAGTTCCATCCCTGTGATCCTAATGGTGGGAGAAGAGAACTGACTCCTACAAGTTTTCCTGATCTCCAGATGCATGCACACACACACACACACACACACACACTCGCACGCACGCACGCACGTACATACACACACACACACTAAATAAAATGTAATAAAAAATAAGAAATAAAAAGAATACAGGTTTTCCTCTCAGGTCTTATCTCAAGAATTCCTAAATCAAGAAACCCTGTACCTATAGATTTCTGTCACCATGACAGAGTCACACTAAAAGAAAAAAGGCTGTCCATTATGCTATCAGTCTTCCAAAGAAATGATGCCTTTTGGTATAGATGTATCTCCATCAGGTGAAGCCTCAGAGTCCCAATTATTGAAATAAAGGTCAATGCTGCTGGGATTACACTAGACACTCTACTATATTACTTCCAGAAACACACTTCCACAAGCATGGGCAAGCTCAGATCAAAATCAGTGGGAAATCATGCACATACTATTGGAAGAAAACGAAGCCTGCTTTACACTCTAGTATAGTAAATCAACCCTCCCTGCTTTACACTCTAGTATAGTAAATCAACCCACCCCTCAGTATAAAGAAAGTATTTCAGTGGGGGAGGGTGGGGTTCAAATCAAAACCAAAGAATCTCTGACTGACCAGTTCACACGTCTTCTGCATCACTCTCAGAAATGAATACCTTCCTCCTGTGTGACAGAGAGATGGAAAGAGCCTTCCACCCTGAAGGGGCACATCAAGGTCCCTTTGGAGGAAGAAATAATTCAAGGGTTCCCACTCTGTTCCTCACAAACAGGAACTGATAAAATAGAAACCTAGGCCTCTTTAAGTCCCCAGTCTCTTGTGCTTACCCCTTCAACCAGCATAAGGAAAACTCCAGGCATAAATGTTCAAGTAGACTGGCCATCACTTCAATTGACTGATTCCCTAAGACTATAGACAGTCCAAGGGCTTTCACTAACTGTGTGGGGGTAGAGTGAGTGTCAAAACAAGGTCCTACTGACTGATGCCTATGGCACTCCAATCCATGTTGTGAGATATTTGATTACACTGTATAAAGATATGACACTGTGACTGGTTTAATAAAAAGCTAAATGGCCAATAGTTAGACAGGAGGTATAGGCTGGAATTCTGACAGAGAGATCTCTGGGAAGAAGAAAGACAGGGTCCCCAGCCAGAGGCAGATGGAGCAAGACATGCAGGAGAGGTAAAAGCCACAAGTCATGTGGCAGAATATAGATGAGTAGAAATGGGTTAATTTAAGTTATAAAAGCTAGTGAGACAAGCCTAAGCTACAGGCCAAGCTTCATAACTAGTAAGTCTCTGTTGATTTTTGTTAGCTGGAGGCCCAAAGAAAAATCCATCTATAAATCCTACCAGGTAAAAACCTAAGAGGAAGTAGGTTTCTATATACTTATCTGCAATAAATGAAATTATGATTCCAAGATCCTTGGTGGTTCTGGACTCTAACACTGCTATCAGATGTACCTGAAAGTTCTGAACAGTTCACCGTGGAGGACCTCTGCTTTTCCTTCTGTGGTAGTCCAGTTAATGAAAGCCAGTATGTTTTGGCTTTAAGATCAGCAGTACACACAGACTGTGTGCCCTGTGGGTTCAGGAAAGTTCTATCTTATCTACCTCAAGCATTACACTATCAGCCCTGTAATTCGTGAGGAAATTCACTTACTTAATATGCAGAGAATCTGATGCTATGCTCCCTACCAAAATAGAATCTGAACTAACTCAATTCCTCTCCTATAGCACGTACTCTATCAGCACCAAAAGGCCACTGTAGAAAAACCTCAGTTCTATGGAGAAAAGATCCATTGCTTAGGCCACAATCTGACCACCCTTATTTCCCCCTCACATGGAAGAATAAAGACAATCCATGGGTCCCCCTGACCAGCAGCTTACAGATTACGGAGATGTTTCTGTGGACTTCAGATACTGCAAGTCTTGATCCCAATTTCTTCCTGATGGTATACATTTTATGTCAACTTAGAAAAATTCTGCCAGAACCTTCTCTGTGAGGAGATAGCCAAGAACAAGCTTTGGGCCAAATAAAGTTGACCTCTTGTCTTTAGCATTTTAGTTCAATGTCTTATGTGGTGAGATGGCCTTAGAACGTGTGTGCCTTTGAATCATCCAGTAATTGTAAAACTAAAAATGAAAAACTGTAAAATGCTTTGAAGACTTATTTCTATGAAGTCACATGACACTTGTAATATAGGATTAACCTCAAACCTATAAAAATTTAAAAGCTAATCTAATCAAGCAACATATTTCTAACTATGCTTTGATGCTTCCAATTAATTTATAGATTCCCTGATGCCAGGCTAGGACTTTTAAAATGCTTTTTATTCCTAATTACAATCTTTAAAAGACAAGAACAACACTCCAGAATCTTAACTATAAGTTATTAAAAGAAGCTGTTTTTACAGTGACCATTTAAAATTCTACAGAGCCACCAAATCTTATCCATCATCCTAACCCCCGCCACTGATGTAACTGCACAAAGTACATTTTCAAACTTAACACTGACAGTCTAACTTAAACATGACATTAAAAGAAATGCTACAAATAAGAACCTGGCTGAAATCTTAAATATTCTACTCACTGAGTTAACAGAAAGCCAGACACTCATCTGTTAGGTATCACTGTAGACCACATGCCAACACTAACACAATTAGAAAAGTCATCTTTACTAACACAATTAGAAAA